GCTTTTCCAGCGCTCAGCATCCCCGGTGCCCTGGCAGAGGGGGAGAAGGAGCTTTTCCAGCCCCCAGCATCCCCGGTGCCCTGGCAGAGGGGGAGAAGGAGCTTTTCCAGCGCTCAGCATCCCCGGTGCCCTGGCAGAAGGGGAGAAGGAGCTTTTCCAGCCCGCAGCATCCCCGGTGCCCTGGCAGAGGCAGAGAAGGAGCTTTTCCAGCGCTCAGCATCCCCGCTGCCCTGGCAGAGGAGGAGAAGGAGCTTTTCCAGCGCTCAGCATCCCCGCTGCCCTGGCAGAGGAGGAGAAGGAGCTTTTCCAGCCCCCAGCATCCCCGGTGATCTGGCAGAGGAGGAGAAGGAGCTTTTCCAGCCCCCAGCATCCCCGGTGCCCTGGCAGAGGCGGAGGCTCCGCATCTGGGGAAGCTCCCGGGGAGATGAGCCCGGGCTCTCGGACAAGGGAGCAGCCGGGTTTGGACACCTCTGGAGAAGAAAAGAGCCCCGTGGCTTTGCTGTGAGCACGGCAGACACCTCCCAAGGGGCCGATCCCAGCAGTGCCTGCTGCTAATCCTGCCTGAAGCCGCTGGAGCTGCCCAGGACCCACGGGAACCTCCTTTGGGTTTCTCAGTGAAAACACCGATGATATCAAACGCGTTCCATCATCCTCTCCCTTGAGAAGAGCGAAAAGAGCAGCCTGGCACCTCGGGAAGAGGCAGCAGCATCCCTCCCTGGCTGTCTCCCGGGGATCCGGGGGGGACAGGAGGGGTCGCAGCCGGGGGCTCTGCTCCATGACCAACACTCGGGACTGCAGGGCAGCCATGGACTCCCCTCCGCCCACCTCCAGCCCTCCCGCAGGGCCCATCACCTTCTCCCAGGTGTTTGGGCAGCAGTGCCAGCTCATGGAAGCAGGTAAGAGAGGAACATGCACAGGCACCACCTCCCCATCATCCTACATCCCACCTGGCAATGTCCTTGCTGTCCCTTTCCTGCTCTGTTTCCCGAGTTCTTCCCTAAAATCTGGTGTTTTCCACCAGGGAAAATGGGGGTGACCCCTTTTGCATTTGCACACCTGCCTCACCGACCCCTGGCACCCTCAAAAGCTTTGTGCCCAATTATTTACAGTGATTGTTTGGGGTTACACGGACCAGCTGCTCTTTCCCTGATGGTGGAAGTTTCTGTTTGGGTGTGAACAAAACGTGCCTGGCGATTTTTGCTTTTCAAAACAATGACATTCAGAGTGGAGGCCGATTTGCTGCAGCTCTGCTTTGCTGTTCAGCTCCGTGAAGGACAAAGTGGGGTTTTTTTCCATGCCTTTCCCTGGTTGTTTGTGTTCCTGTAGCACCTGGAAGCTCTGCTCCATTTCCCAGGTGTTTTCCTGCATTTCCAACTCCACAGCTGGGCCTGGATATTTCTTATCTGTGCCTTTGGCTGTTAACTAGATGATGTATAAGGTGACTAATCCCAGATTTTCCATGCTGCTCACAGGTGCTCTGAAGCACCAGCCCATGCAGTGCCCCAGAGCTGTGCACTCACATCCTCCTTCACACCTGGCTCCCCAAGTTTATAAGGGATATTTATGGATAAGGGACTTCACAAGATTTACTCCTATTTTCCTATCCCTGCTGACAGGTAGCTCTGAGGAAGGATATGTTTGTTTACTTAGAGCTGTGGAGAAATCTGGGTTTCTGCAGTGATGCCATAACAACACTTGCTCTGAATTTTTAGGGCTTGTTCTTCTCAGATCTGGTAATTTCCTGTTTCTGTTTGTGCTGGTGCAGGTATCTGGCAAACTTGTCCTGCAAAGTGTCCCATCCTTATTCCTTCTCTTTTCTCTCCTAGTAACCAGTTCTGTAACTAATGATGTTTGGATTCTATGTTTCTACTTATGTGGTGAGATTAAAAATATGATATATTAGAGTTTCCTGCAGGTCTCTGTGGTACTTCTGCTCTGCCTCTCGTACCTCCACAGGTTGAGCTGGGAGGATGACTCATTAGGTGATTAATTAGCTGACTGCTACTCATTTAATCAAGCTTGAGATCATGCTGCTGCCTCCAAGAAAATGTCAGGCAGCTCTTCAAGAGGGTTTTGTATTAAACTTTCCTATTACATATCCTGGGATTAGTGCAAAGGCTGTGGCTCCGTTGCAGCAGGTCTTGCCCAAAGAAGAGGTGAAGGAGAAAGTTCTGCTTCTGGGTGAGCAGTTTGTTCCCCAAATTAGCAAGCCCAAGGATGTGGGAAAACACAGGTGGTAGCTTGAGTTTGGTTTGTTTTCCTTTCCCTTTCCTAGAGGGAAATGCCCCAGAGGAAACCTGGGACTTCTGGGTTTCCAGATCCCACCTTAGTCAGCCAACCAGATGATTTTTCTCTCTGGTGGATCACGTTGGTAGGATTTTCTGGGTGTTTTCTCAGGTATGAGGGTGAGATGCAGTGTAAGGATGCTTGCCATGGATGTCAGTGACATCCAAAGGGATTTCAGTGGATGGTGTGTGCTCCTGTGAGTTTCCTGTCCTTACAGCAATGCCAACACACACTCTGAGCTCCTGAGAGCAGAAGCTCAGCTGAGGTGTCTGTGGATGTGTGCAGTGGGCAGGAAGGATGCCCTGAAGCTGTGGCAGTGGATGCAGGTTTGGGACACCAAGCTCTGGTTCCTCACTCGTGTCCTGTGCCTCTGAGCTGACATTTTGGCCACAAAATCTCTCAGGGCCCAGCAGGGCCGTGCAAATGCCTTTACAAACCACAAAACCAGACCTTGCCCCCTTGATTCCCTTAATCAACAATCTCTGGGGAGCTGTGAGGAGCCAAGCTCTGACCCAAACAGCCCAAACCTCACAAGAAAGATTTGTGGATAGCCAGCACCACATCATTGTCCTTGGTGACATTTGGGCTCCTTGATAACACCAGGATGTGCTCGAATGATAAAGGTGCTGGCCTTAATTAAATGTCAGATTTTGTGCCTGGAGAATTGCCAAGCTCGAGACAGATCACAGGCCTGACAGCACTCTTTGATGTACCACCTGCAGTGATCTCCTGGTTTTTATAGCTTCTGCCTCTGGTGTAAGGACACTTCTCCAAAGCACAGGTGGGAAGAGCTGGGCTCTGCTGGCAGAACGTGTTTCAGGTTGTGTGCAGCGTTTTCTGCCCTTGCTGGAGGAAGCAGAGGGTGTGAGCTGCTCCCCTGCAAACACATCCCCTTCTCCCAGTGCTGCTCCTCAGTTCCTCGCTCTGGAAACCAAACACTGCACGTTTGCAAGTCAGCTTTCCCCTTGCCAGCTGCACCTCGTCCCTGTTGATAGAAAACTTGAAAAGTTGGGGGTTTTGTGCAGCTGATTCTGCTGATTATTTGTGCATAGTTTATGGAGATTTCTGGGAGCCCTTGCACAGGTCCTGCTCTGTATTCAACCCCTGGAGCAGCATCTGCCAGCACAGCACGTGGGGATGCTCTTTGGAAAGTTATTTTTCTACCTTCCTGTTTTATTCTCTTTCCCCTTTCCTCACCATTTTACTGCAGCTCCATCTCTTTGTTTGCTGGGATGTGCTCCTGGTGATCACCTGGGTGTTCATTTCCCTGAGATCTCTGCTCTGAGAGTTCACTGACAGCCAAGGCAGCAAACCCTCACTGCTGCAGGCATTAAACTGGCCTGAGAGATCTGCCAGTGTCACCTGGGGACATGGTCACCTTTAGAGGGGCTGCAATTCCCCAACCTGGGGCTGCAATTCCCCAACCTGGGGCTGCAATTCCCAAACTTGGGGCTGTAATTCCCCATCTGGGGCTGTAATTCCCCCTGTGGGGCTGCAATTCCCCATGGGGGGCTGCAATTCCCAAACTTGGGGCTGCAATTCCCAAACTTGGGGCTGCAATTCCCCCTGTGGGGCTGCAATTCCCCCTGTGGGGCTGCAATTCCCCCTGTGGGGCTGCAATTCCCCATGTGGGGCTGCAATTCCCCATGTGGGGCTGCAATTCCCCATGTGGGGCTGCAATTCCCCATGTGGGGCTGCAATTCCCCACCTGGGGCTGCAATTCCCCAACCTGGGGCTGCAATTCCCCCTGTGGGGCTGCAATTCCCCATGTGGGGCTGCAATTCCCCATGTGGGGCTGCAATTCCCCAACTTGGGGCTGCAATTCCCAAACTTGGGGCTGCAATTCCCCCTGTGGGGCTGTAATTCCCCCTGTGGGGCTGCAATTCCCAAACTTGGGGCTGCAATTCCCCATCTGGGGCTGCAATTCCCCATCTGGGGCTGCAATTCCCAAACTTGGGGCTGCAATTCCCAAACTTGGGGCTGTAATTCCCCATCTGGGGCTGTAATTCCCAACCTGGGGCTGCAATTCCCCAACCTGGGGCTGCAATTCCCCAACCTGGGGCTGCAATTCCCAAACTTGGGGCTGCAATTCCCAAACTTGGGGCTGCAATTCCCAAACTTGGGGCTGTAATTCCTGCCTGGGGTCACTCAGGGAATAAGATTTCTGGTTCCTTGTCAAGACAATGCAGGCTGGGTTGTGTTTTGCCTGGTGATTTCCAAATGGAGTAATTGGGAAAGAGGCTGGCTTCATAGCCCCATCCTAAATCTTCTGATCCCAGAAGAAATTCCTGCCTGCCAGGCAGTGCTGGAGGATCTTTCTTGCTTGAAGAACTAATCTGAATCTGGCACAGGTTCTTGCTATAAATTTTGCTAATACATAAATGAAGGACTCCAGTTGTTCACTTTAGAAAGAAAAAAAAACCAAAAAAAAAAAATGTCTGAAGGATTTTTGATTTTCACTACCAAACTTTAAAATGAGGGTTACTAAGAATTTGAAGGATATTTCCTGTCTGATCTCCCATGAAATATTGAATATATGGAGAGAGAGCTGATCTCCAGGAGAGCTGAGCATTCTCTGGAAGAATTAGGCTTAGTAGAGAAACCATTTATTTTATACATGGGCAAATTCCAAGCAATTTGTTTGGGATAATGCAATTTTCTGGACTTATGGCCAGGAATTATTCTCTGACTCACTGCTCCTTTAGATTAATTTTCATTTTCCATCAATTCCTTGGCTCTCAGATCCTGCTGATTTGTTAGGCTCACAATATTTTTTCTTTCTATCTTGCCAGTTAATTTTCCATAGGTTATAAAATAAGGAACTCGATTCAAGATGTGACCAGAATGAACAAGAAAGTAATTTGAAAATCATCCAGACCTTAGGATTTTGCAGTGAATCTCTCCCATATTATATTTCCATTACATATATATTATCCATTACATGCATTCTGTATTATTCTCCTCTGGTGGCTGCTCCCCAAATTGATGTGAGTTTGGTTTGGCTGCCCCTCCTCAGCAGAAAATCAAGGACATGATACAAAATTCTTAAGAGTTCTTCTGTGGAAATTAATTTCATGTGGCTCAAAGCTTTTGCCTTTACCCCCCTCCTTCTGAAGTTTGTAGCCCTTGATGCAGCTCCTCTCAAGGGGAATGTGAGGTGAGATTGATGTGGCATTACCTAAGCAAAATATTTGTCATGCAGCACGAAATCCCTGGAATCTCATCTGGTCTGGCACCTTTTGCAAAGGTTTTGTTTTGCAAACAAAGCATGGAATATGCAACATAGAATTCCTTCATCTGGTGCTTGAATACGGTTTTTAAACAAATAAAGTAGTATTTTTAAAGACCTGCTCTGTGCCCCCTGACTTGGATGAAGGTTTGGAGCTGGGCTCCCTGAAGAAGAGTTCAAATCTGATGAGTGTCAGAGATGAAAAAAAAAAAGATTAATGGGAAAATTTCAGCCCTTGATAAGATGTAGAAGAAAATCTCTGACCTTCTAAACTGAGGCTGAGATGAACATTTACCATCTGTGCTCTCCTATTTTATGCCCTTTAGTCCCTTGTGTATTTTTCCATGATTTAATTGAACAGCAACCAAACAGGATCTGGTT